AATAAATAAATAAATAATCCACTCATTAAAATAGTCAGCTTCATTGAAAGAGTCTGCTCCAGTTGCCTCTCAGAGGTGGGGGCAACACCCTGAATTGCTGATTAGGGTGGGAAGACCACCAAACAGAAGGGAGGGGTGCAGGTAAAGGGCGCTAAATGATTCCTCTGCCTATTTGCAGAATTCTAGGAGAGCCCCACATGATACCAACACAACCGTTCTGTTTTCCCAGTAACTCAACTATCTTTTTTCTTACTACCAAAAGTCTGTTAAAGAGGGAGAGGCAGAACAGCTCCACAACGCCTTGTGGCCAGCAGCACTAAGCTACCGTGTTCGAAAGTACCCAATGTTTCTCTGACACATGAAAAAGTAAAACTGCCACAGAGTAACCTAGTGAGAGGATAGAAGGCAACAGGGTGAGTGACAGTGGCCACAGATTCTTGAACCGAGGCAGACGTTTCAAACAGCCTGTTTCAATCTGGGCTGCTGTGCTATTCTAGCAGGATTGATTTCCAAAGCAGATATTGTTGTTCTGCACAGCAGTCTAACCTTCTGTGCAGTTTTACTAGGTCTATTTTCCATGTTGTGGTTGGGTGGGGAAAGGAAGTATCAGTAGCCAGATGCTCTGAATCTAAGCATAAGCCCAGAGAAGGGAAAATAAGAGGCTGCCTAGGCACTGGAATGCACATCTGAGGGTGGATGTCTGTCAGCACGGCATTACCCTCAATAGGCCGCACATTCTGATCCATATTCCCATCCACAGCTAGTACAGACAGGCAACGTAAATGTGCCAGTAAGTTTACATAACTGTTTTTCAGACAGATGGACCCAAATTGCATGTCCAAAAGTTACTCAGACTAGCAAGGATATATGAGATGTTTCTCTAGGCTGTTTGTGGATGGATGCAACTGCAGGGAGACAAAGTAGAAAATGCCACAGAAATTAGCCAACAGAGTTACACAGCCCCAATTTCAACAAAGGCTAGGCCCAAAATGAAGGCTAATGTAGCATAGGTAGGCCTATTGATTGCCCAAACCATGCACTTCTGTCTAAGCTTAAGTTGTGTAGAATTTAAAAAGTGTAGTTGTGCTTGACTTAAAAGCATACATGATTGGTATATTTAAAATATATTTGCTTTCTTTTGAACTTAACAGCAGACTTGTATTCTAACGGTAATTATTGCACCATCACCACCCCAGGGCTATGTGCACATGCAGTTTTCCGCTGGAGCTGGAGAGGAAGGAGTTAAACACCACCACCACCCCATATATACTGTAGTTCCAGTTAAAACTGGGGGAACTGTAACTAATGTAGAAATTCTTTAAAGCCTAGGTTTGTTTACTAACCATGTTATTTCCAAAAGCAGAGTTGGGTATTACCTTCACTGGGTCTCCAAAATATAAACAAGAAGGGAAATGTTCAAATTGTTCAGAACTTTCATGAGGCAGGGCAATACAAAGTTTGTGATGGAAGGAAAGGAAAAGTTCAAAATAATCCTGGCCAGATGCTAAGACCAGGGGACTTGTCACTAATTAAGTCCCAGTACAGAGTCTTCAGGTTTGAGACTTTCCACCATTTTTGAACTTTCTTCCCTCTCACCCATCCAAAGTTTTACAATGCTCAGCCTGAGTAAGAGTTATGAAGGATGCAAAAGCTCATATTTTAAATGATACATTGGTGGGCCAATAAACGTATAACCCAACTGTGCCTTTTGTTCTTATTGTTGTATTGTTTAACTTGGGTCTGTGACTATATAATAATAAGTGATGAACAATCTAGTGAAGATAGATCGTTCCCAACCTACAACCCCTACAAAACCCTTCTCTATTCTATTCTGTTCTACTCTATTCTATTCTATGTGATCAGGTTAGAAAAACAGAACACAGCATTTATTTATAAAACTCCATTGATTGGCATATGATAAAACACTATTTATTCCTCAGAGCAAGGAAGGAGTGATGCTGTTCATGGTGAAGCAACAGTAATAAAGCACTAACAATAGAAAATAGGTAGTACTTACATGGACCATCTGCAGGACCATAGTTAAGGAAGCAAAACCCTATCAGTAGCAAGATCACTGTCCTCCAAGTCAATTTACGCAAGAGTTGGATGGGCCTCACTCCTCTTTTCATCATTGCATGGAAAGCCAGTGCTACAGATGTCCCCAGGATGAAAACAAACCTATAACATCAAAGAGAGTAATCAAAACCTGGCTTAAATTGTACACTCATTATTTTTTTTACATTTTGTTTCAATTCCATGGAAGAATGCATGCAATAAAAAGCTCACTACTCTAAGGAAACCAGTTATTTCAAAACATCTAAATAAACTCCCTTTAGCAAAGGTAAACATGAATGGATTCAGCTGAAGACATCAGCTCAAGAGAATTGTTCAACTCCTAATCCTAAAACGGCTGCTCCTGAAGTATATTTAATACAAAGAGAGAGAGAGAGATTGCTTACCTTTACGGCAAAAGCCCCTACTGCTAACAAGAGAAGCTGAGGTTGAGTTTTTAAAATGTTGGTAGACAATCCAATAATACATGAAATGGCAAGAGAAGGTTCAAGCTCTCTGTGTTGGTCCCTTGTCTTTATGGAAAGGACTTTGGATTGGATCCTGGGACTGAAAGCTGTGGCAACTTCCTAGAAGCCTTGCCCATTAGTCATTCTTGGCTATGCCAGATTCAGCATGCACTAACCTCACATGCATCGCCTGGAGACCACATATTAAAACTATTAACATCATGAAGAACAAATAGCAAAAATATACTGAGTGATCTGCTTAGGTCTCCCAGTCATATGCAGAGCAGAAAGGGGAGAATGTTTGTTTTTGACAAAAGAGGGTAGGACCAGCTTTAAATATTTTGCTGTTTAAGGCAGAGCAGCAAATGGCTCTCCCACATCAAATTCAGTGCAGAGAACCTAAAGTCAGGTTAAAAAGTCTTATAGGTACTGTATCTCTCTGCAAACCTGGGAGCAATTACAAGCATAACAAATTAATTGATAATATTCTGCTCTTTCACAACACTCAGACCATGCTAACTGAGATAGCTGCTTCACTCTGGCTAATGGTAAGGCTAGCTGTGGGTGAGGGAAGTTGAACTCTTTTAGCATCAAACATACGGAGAACCAAAGCTTCCATCCATGTGTTTGTGTGTGTGGTCCCTTTCCACTTCCACATTAAAGTTGTGTTCTAATTCTAAGCTGTAGCTGAGGAGAAAAACCAGCTGAGGCAAGATGTGGGGAAAATAAGTTGTAGATGGGGTGGTTTGATGGAAAGCAACAAAAATAATACTTATTTGCTCTAAGGGCCAGACAGATACACACAGGCCATTATAATACAAGGGTTAGAGATCTTTTTGGCCTTCCATGTTCAGTCTCAGAGATGTTTTTCACAAGCTATTTTACAACAGTGATGAGGCCATGGACACAAGTGTGAAGACCACAAAAACTAGTGTATTTCAACCGAAACCTTTTACTGACTGTACGTAAGTTGTAAGAAGAGGCAATTCAACATTTTGAAATTGGGGTGTGTGTGCAAAAGTTGGAAAAGACAAACAAAATGAAGTTGTTGAAAGGAAGAAAACAGGGCCGTGTGGGGAAGTCCAGAGGGCTGAAGGTGACCCCCAAAGCCTTAAATTTCACTTCTACTGATAAAGGTTGGGTAATACTTGGGTTCACACAAAAGAGTTTGCCACTGTAATATTTAGTTTGCCCCTTTTCACTGCTAATTTTAAGAAATAAACCTCAACCGCCCCCCTCAACCCACTCAAGGTACATTATGTGCAAGATGGTCTAATTCTATAGGCACCTGAAACATAAAATCCCACAACTGCCTCTTCTGCTTCCTGGCAGTAATAATATAACAATAACAAATTAATTAACAGTCCTCCCTTTCATGATAACCCTCAAAATCACTGTCCAAGATAGTTGCCTCGCGGGGCCTAATGGAATGTGAAATAAAAATAGATGAAAGAGAATATAAGAGAGGGAATGGGTCTAGATATTATTTAGAAAACAAGGTCGATGACCTTAGGGAGACATTCTAATAAATACTATACTTTATTTGAATAACCAATAAAATAAAGAGAAAATTCAACTGAAAATGAAATTAAAAGATAGAGAATGAATGTATTTATTTGAAAGCTGGATCAAAGATAGTACTATGTTTTAAATATCCAGCTAACAAAGTTGCCTTATAGTGTAATGGTTGATTATTTAGAATAGGTATTGTATGAAGCTTACACAGTAACTGTTTTGAAGCATCAACTACCATCCAGTAAAATAGCATTAAAACATGAGACAGAAGCAAAGATGCTAATTCAGGATGTGGACAGGAAAACAGTCCGCAGGGGAAAGTTTTGTGTGTGTGTGTTTTTTTAAAAAAAATGCCAAATGTGCAAATCTGTCATTCTTTGCCTTAATGGGCACTTATAAATGTGCAACTTGCCAAAGATCTTCCTCCACAATATGATTGTGGTTATAAAACGAACAGCATGGTCAATAACATGATCTAATCTGATTGAAGGGGCCAGTAAGAAAATTATTACCCACTTTACAACCCATTAACATCAAACCTACATTACAGGAATGCACACGATAGATTAAAAACTTGCTTACTTAAAGCAAGGAGGTCTAAATAAACTCCATTATATAGGTTGGGGCCTTTTTTTTAATCACCGAAGCAAAAATGAATACTCCCCTGTTGACTGGACCAAAATGGGGAACGGGATATGAAGCTGATAACATGCTGAGTTCAGAGATTTTTGACAGTCGTAGATGATGGAGAGAAAGCAAAAGTGATCTATTTACCCTGATAGGTTGGGTCTTTGCCTTGACAAACTGAGAAAGATGGAAGAGTGTAATACGGAAGAACAATATTTTAAATTTCATTTCTAAAGTATGCAAGGCAAAGAAACAACACCGAAAACAGAGCTAAGTTCTCAAATCCACATAAGGGCAATAAGGTCAACCCAAAGGTCACAAAATTAAATTCTTTACTTTTATCTGTCCTGTAGAGAAAGCAATAGAGGGAAAGTTAACACTTGCTATGATTATTAAAAATTAAAATTCAGGTGTATGATTAGTTTAGTGATCAGTCATATATCTAATCAGTGATTAGTCATATATCACTGACATGAAAGTAGAGTTATTTAAGGCAAAGTTACTCAAGCATCTCAGTGTAAGAAACAAGATCAAATATTCCCCCCCCAAAAAAAAGTTTACATCAAATGCTAATCCAAACATTAAAAAGAGTCTGAAAAAAAAAAACCCTGACATTTTAAAAATAGGGGCCTAAACTGAATGGGAGAGTTGACTGATAACCACGATGGTGCCAGATGGATGACTCCTGGCACAATAAGGTACACTGCACAGCTATTCTGTCATTGGATCTTAAGCGTTTCTTGGGGGAAGGGAGTCTTATGGCAATAATATTGAAGGAGTAGTGGAAAAGGACATGAGGGATACAAATCGTAGATTATATAATCTGGAAGCTTAGCAAAATTCTGTGAGTGATAAAGGGTGATGGCCCTAGTAAAAGCCTCATCTGGAAGCAACCATCCAAAATTGGCTGCTTCAAGGAAGTCAAGAATTCTGTTCTTTTACTTCTTCCATTTTCCTAGACCTCGTCTGAGAAATATAACAAACCATCAGCCACAACCAGCTATACAGATTTTTCATGTCAAATCATGTTAGGCATTTCTCAGCTCAGTAGAACAATGCAGTCAGACAATGTCCTAAACGTAAAGCAAAGGAAAAGAACAAGCTGAAATCCCCCAAGCCTTTTCACATAACCTGTTATGGCTAGCTAGTAGAGTAGTTCCTTCCTTAAGCCGGGGTTGGTGGTGACACAGAGGCTGCACCCCCCAACCTAAAGGGCAAAAGGTTCAGAAAACACTCTGAGTTTGCATTCTGATCTAGCATTTGTCAGAATCTCCATGATAATGGAATTTCTAAACATTCTGTGATCTCCAGGGTAAACAGAACACCTCAAGGGTGGCCAGTTCTGTCCTCTGTGCTGTCCTCTGAAGATGACGGCCACAGAGACTGGTGAAACATTAGGAAGAACAACCTTCAGAACACGGCCAAAGAGACTGAAAAACCCACAACTATGGTACACTGTTTTAGCCATACCAAGAGCCCGAAAAACCCACAACAACTATGGTACACTGTTTTAGCCATACTTTTTTTTAATAAGAGGAAATCTTGACTGATGTATGCCAGAGTATGAAGAAAATAAAACCGAATTGAGATTTACTCTAAATACCATTATTTTGTTTATGAGTTATTATCAGCTGAAGGTACAGTTTAATGATACAAATACAGAAGGATCATCTGACACCTTGAAGCAGGTTTACATGTGCATGTGTTTCGTTTGATAACTACAACTTCAAGTGATGACTTGTATGTGCAAATGGGCCACCTCTTTCATGTTACCTCATATTGTCTTATATATAATATGTCCTGAATCAAACTGGCAGTCCCACTGAATCAGTGGGATTTATGTACACATTGACTTATCACTCTGTAGTTGATTCATCCGGTTTAATCTAGTTGGAATTACCAACTGGATTTAGGACTTTCCAACCAAATCTATTAATATGCTCAATTACAAATCATTATGTACATGTATGGTAATCAAGTACTATACAGACATTTATGAAACAGGCCGAAAACTAATTAGACCAAAGCTCATAGTTTCATAGAGGGCCTTTCCAGTAGCTGCTTCCAAGCTCTGGAATACTTTGCCCAAAGTAACCAGGTTGGCCCCCTCCCTCTTGTCCTTCTATCACCAAGCAAAGATGTCCTTCTTTGGGCAGACTTTTAAGCTATAAGTGTCTCAGCAAAGCTATGCTTATTAAACTTAGAGATTTTAAAATGTTTTTCAAGATGCTTTAAATTTGTTTTGTATCCTGTTTTTTAATCTTCATACGTATATACTTAACGGCTTTTTAATATGGCATTTATATGATTGTTGTATAGTTTTACCTGTTGTGAGCTATCTTGGTTCCCCATGAGGAGAAAGGTTGCATATAAATAATATAAAAACAAGCAAACAAACAGCTTACCATGGCATGACCAGATCTGCAACTGTCAATCCTACAATAAAAACACATTGAAGAGTTTAAAGTGCTGTTGATCATTTCCAAACAAACTTTGCAGATTTATATAGTGG